GCGTGGGGCTGGGAGGGGCCGAGGCACCTGAGCGCGTCCCAAGGGCGCCGCTGCCCGGCTCACCTGTCCCCGCGCCGCTCCAAGTGCAGACCGGGATTTGTCCCCAGGAAGAGAAAACGGAATTCTTGGCGCTGTAGCAGCAACCGGGAAAACTGAGAGACTTGGCTCAGCCAGGAGGAGGCTCCTTTCGTCGGTTCTAAGCTGGGCCTGTTACGGAAACTTTAGTGGCGTCAAGGTGATCTTGGAGATTCCTGGCTCTGGGCGGTGTGCCTGGTAGCTCTGAATCCCTCTGACGTGCAACTGGCGCCCTCTAAATTAAAATGGGCCACGGCTATCGTCAGCGATATTGTTACAAACCTCGTCATTTTTTATTTAATCAACATTTTCACCACACTGTGTTTAAGTGTTTTGTGATTGTTCTTATCTCAAAACACCACCAAAGAACTTTCGAGAAAAAAAATGCACAAATACTTTTCCGGAAAGAATAAAAAAGTTAAAGACACGTGAGAAAGGCTAACTTAACCTGACCACGTTCTTTAACGTAGGAGTTTTGGACTTTGATGCTTAAAAATTTAGCTGAGGATGGCAACTAGATAAGAGTGTTGGTATAGGATGGTAGCCATGTAGTTTGTTTGCATTGTCCATGTTGTCAATACCAAAACTAAATTATTGAACTTATTATGTCATCGGGTGGGGGAGCAGAGGACCTCAAAATTACCTAATGCTTTTAAGGATTAAATGCCATTAAGGAAAGATGGACTGGATTCTCTTCATCCTTGAGGGTGGAGAGGCTGAAATTTAGTTTTCTTCCCAAATTACATCCTTTGTCACCACTTCTTATACCTAAATATGTAAGGAAACAACACCTGAAAATGCAAATTGAGAGAGATGTTCAAGTAAATAGTCTTTTAAATGTGAGGACTATGAAAGTAGATTGAAAGAGACTACAAGGATGGCTAAATACACCAAGTTATATTAAATGAGGTCCAAGACCTACTTGTAAATGGTATTGATGGTATAATCAAAACAGTTTCAATAGATTCTATAGAGTAGGGGGATTAAATTAGATCCATGTTATTTCCTAAAGTAGACACTGTATTCTAGTCCTATAGGACAGTGTCTTTGTTGTAAGAAGTACACAATGAAGCAGAAAGGGTTGAAGGGAATGCTATAGTTTGATTCTAGAATGTGCCCCAAAGGCCATGTGTTGAAGGCATGGCCCCATGGTGCTATTCGGAAGTAGTAGAACATTTAAGAGATGGGGCCTAGTGGGAAGAACCTAGGTCACTGGAGGCTTTCCTTAAAAAGGATATGGGGACCTTGACCTCTTCCCTGACCCTCTCTCCTATCCTGTTTCCCTCCCTCTCTCCCTCTCTCCCACTCTCCCCCTGTCTCAGAGCCATGAGGAAAAAAGTCTCCCCATCCCACCACACTATGATGTACTGTGATGTCACAGGCCCAAAGACATGGACCAAGTGACATGGACTGAAACCTCTAAAACCGTGAGCCAAAGTATTTCTTCCTTTTAAATTGCTTTTTCTCAGATATTTTGTCACAGCAAGGGAGAGCTGACTCACACAGGGGCATTACATTTGCAACTTATTTTCAGGTAGTTCAAAATGTTAAGATCTGAATGAGTGACAAAAGGTAACTCTTTGAACCACTTTTGTAATTTTCCTATAATTTGTTTTTCTTACCAAAAAATTTTAAAACTTCAAAAGTGTTCACCATAGATTTCCTTTAAGAATCAAGTTCAAAAAACAAACAAACAAACTCTGGCTGGGGATTTAGCTCAGTGGTTCAGTGGCCTGCCTTGCAAGCGCAAGGACCCAAGTTCAATCCCCGGTACCAAAAGAAAAAAAAACAAAAAAAAAACAAAGAATCAAATTGCTGATAGCTGTTCTGAACATAGGACTTGATCCACAACTTTGTGAATATATATAATAATGTGATTTCATTCATCCACCCAGCAATTATTTCTTAAGGGCATGCTCTACACAACTCATCTAAAGTATAGAATGAAATATATGTATAAGTAAAATCCTGAATCTTTTGATTCTTCATTAACAGATGAGAAGCTTCAGGAAAGTGTGTGGTGAAATTGGTCCTGGTAAAGCTCTGGAATTGGGTGACACACTAAATAGAAGAGAATATGACTTGGCAATTTAGTTTTAATAACTTCATTGACAGGCAAAGGTGAAAATACTGTGTGTGTTCATCCGTTTGGTGCATGGGTATACGGCAGTGGATTTGTTGAGGATAATAAACTTGGGTACCATGGCCCATTGCCCTAGACATGCATTTGTGACATTTGACAGATGAAGTTACTTTTCCTTAAACCTACACAGTTTCTTTCCCTCACTCTTTAGTCTTTATCTGAGGCCTAATGATTGTATTCTTTGCATTTTGGCAATAAAAGCAGAAAAGATTCTGGGTTGGTTTTGTCTCTTGTTAAGTTCTAAAAGAAAAGAAATTGTCCCAATAGATACTTTAGAAAAGTGTCCACACTGAAAAGGTGACTCAAGACCATAGCATCTGTATCATGGTGGAAAAGGGGATTACATGCTGAAAACTTAACATTAAAGATTCTTGAGCTCTACCCCAGACAAGCTAAATCCAAATTTCTAGTGATGGAACCTGGAAATTTACTTTTGAACAAAAACTTGTGGAACCACAGCTTGTGGGGGGCTTCATATATAGAATGTTCCAGCATTTCTTTTATTATTAATTGCATAATCTTGTTCTCAGGAAAGTACTATGGCAAGCTAGCCAATTATTGTGTAAAGTGGATTTTTTCCTGTTTCCATAATTAACATATAATATATGGTTTTGAAAACTAACATGCATCTGGCAGTAGGTGTGCAGATGTCATGGTGCTAACGTAGTTAAATTTTCAGATTTGGAAGTAATTTTTTTTTTTTTATCAGTTGTGGGAATTGAACCTAGGGCCAATCCCCCACTTTTTTTTCTTTTAATTGTATTTTGAATTAGGATTTGCTAAATCTCTTAAGTTGCCTATGCTGGGCTCAAAATTGTGATTCTTTTCCCTCACCCTCCCAGAGTGCTAGGATTATAAGCATTGATCAACACACCTAGTGAAAGTAATGTTATATCAGAGTGAAATGCATATTCCCAAATCCCAAAGCTTAATAGGGTGAAATAATATGTACACATATAACCAATACACATGGGCAAAAATTTACATCAACAATAATAAACTTTCAGAAAGTTATGCAAGGCCCCAAATCATCATGGAATGCTATTTACCATGATTTGGACCAACTGCTTTCATTTAGGTGCTTCCTAAATCCAAGTTTCTAGCACTGGCTCCAAGGATCTTGTAGACAGAATTGTCAAAGAATAGGCAGACGATGTGATGGGGGTTACTTAAAAAAGCTTCACTTAAAAGAAAGTCTACCTTTGCCTCTCTCCTGCTAACTGCTAGGATTCCTATGGTTGATCATAGGAAGATACAGGCATGTTTTGTTAGACGAGAATAAATGTACTTCAACAAAAGAGAACCCTTATTGAGTCAAATATGTCAGTCAAAAAACTATACAGAAGCCAAGAAATCTAGACAGTAAAGTTGAAAGCATAATGTCCTCTGTAAAACATGACAAAGCTTTCTTCTTAAGGAGAACCATATTTTAATTAATTTAAGTCCTTTTGTGGGTTTTAAGAACCAAAGCTCAGCTGAGACAATATTTTTGGCCCTCTTTCAAGTTCTGTGCTTGCTAACTCCATGTTGATATTCTAAAGAATATAAAAACGAAATTGGTAATATAATTTGAAATGAAATATAACCCTAACCTTGTTTTTCTTTCTCAAGATTGCATTAGCTATTTGGAAGCCTCTTGTGGTTCTGTATGAATTTTAGAATTTTTTTCCATTTCTGTAAAAAAATGCCATTAGAATTTTGATAATGATTGTATTAAATCTGTAAATTGCTTTGAGTACCATGGACACTTTAGTACTATTAATTCTTCCAATCCATGAATACAAGATATCTTTCCATTAATTGGTGCATTATTTTCTTTAATTGATGTTTTATAAATTTCAGTGACTAGGACTTTCACCCCCTAGATTAAATTTATTCCTAAATATTTTATTATTTTTTATGCTATCATAAATGGAATTGTTTTATTAGTTTGTTTTTACAATAGATCATCATTTGTTTAAAAAGTGCAAGTGATTTTTTTCATGTTAATCTTGTAAGCTATAGTCATGAAATTAGTATGGTCCTGGCATAAAAACTAACATATGGACTAATAGAAAGGAACAGAAAACCCAGAAGTAAACCTAGTAACATACAGCCGACTAATTTTTTTGTTTGTTTGTTTGTTGTTTTGAGACAGGGACTCACTATGTAGTTGAGACTGACTTGGAACTCACTATGTAGTCCAGGCTGGTCTCAAACTCACAGCGATCTTCCTGCCTCAGCCTCCCGAGTGATGGGATTACAGGCGTGCGCCACCACAACCGGCTTAGCCAACTAATTTTTGACAGGGGCACCAAGAAAACACAGTAGTTTAAAAAATTTTTAAAAATTCAATAAGTGGTGCTGAGAAAACTGATATCCATGTCCAAAACAAT